CCACAAGCGACCCACAAGGGGACCACACGCGTACCACAAGCCAATCCCTGAGACAGTCACAAAAACAGGACCGGACCACAATAAAAACACAGCTACGGAACCACAACGGGACCACAAGGGAACCACAAACAAAAATATCCGGACCACAAGGACCACAAGGGACCCACAACAGAACTACAAGGGTTTTTCTATAGCTACAAGCTTTATTTTTGGGATTTCAAGTTTCAAGGTTTGGGTTGAGCTTGAGGCTTCACTGAAAGGTTTCGAGCTTTCGAGTTAAGACTTTCAGGGTTTAGGGAGTAGGATTTAGGTTTCAGGGTTGCAAGACCCTCTTCGGTGCCATCTTCACAGCAGGACGAACGAAAAACTTTTCCTGCCACGAGCACGAGCCGCTGCGAAAACAAACCCCATCATACTGCAACAATGAAATCATAATATCGAATCATATACGCATATTTTATGCATGTGTATGTGAAAAACACAAAATCATATGGAAACATAAGTCTCTCTATACATTTGCGTTAGTTATATACTTTTTCTGCCTGACATGCCCTGTTTGGTTTTCATATAATTTTTGAAGCTAACTTCGATAACTTCCCTAACAGCCTAACTAACTTATAACTAAGATATATCTTCGNNTATAACTAGGGGCACCACCTTGTATGTAACAATGTATCCATGTTTGTATGTATGTGCGTATATACGTATGTACGTATGTACGCATGTACGTATGTACGTATGTATGTATGTACGTAGGTAGATAGGTAGGTAGGTAGGTAGGTAGGTAGGTAGGCAGGCAGGCAGGTAGGTAGGTAGGTAGGTAGGTAGGTAGGTATATATGTATGTTTGTTTGCATGTACATATGTGTACGTGTGTATGCGCCTATGTACGTATGTATGTATTTATGAACCAATGGATGTATCTATGTATGTATCTATGTATGTTTGCATGTATGCATGTATGCATGTATGCATGTATGCATGCGTGCATGCATGTATGTACATATGTATGAAGGCATGTATGTGTGGTGTATGTATGTATGTATGTATGTATGTATGTATGTATGTATGTATGTATGTATGTATGTATGTATGTATGTATATGTGTGTGTATGTGTGTATACACGTATGTACACATGTACGTATGTAGGTCAATGTAGGTAGGTAGGTAGGTAGGTAGGTAGGTAGGTAGGTCGGTCGGTCGGTCGGTCGGTCGGTAGGTAGGTAGGTAGGTAGGTAGGTAGGTTAGGTGTTGCAATTGTTATATATATATATATATATTTATGTACACGCTTATGTACGTATGTTTGAGAGTATATGGATGTGCGCGTAACATGTACCGATGTCTGTGATTGTGATACGTCTGTATGTATTCATGTAAGAATGCATACACATGCATCGTATTTTGATGCATGTCACAGACGGGGAAGTAAACCGAGAGAGAGAGAGAGAGAGAGGGATTGAGAGAGAGAGACAGAGAGGGAGAGAGAGAGAGGGAGAGAGAGATGGAGAGAGGCAGAGCGAGAGAGAGAGACAAACAGCGACACACACGCACAATCACGCACACCACATGCTAAACACATGTTGTGCGCGAACACACACACACACGTGTACACGCGCGCATGATCGCAAATGAAATATTGTACGAGCAGCTAGGTAGGCACTCGATGTCAAGCATGTCGGGGGCGCTCGGCATAGTCGCAGTCGAGATAGATGTCCAGAAACTTCCTCCGTCTCAAAGCTAATTACCCGGAAGGGCCGAAGCTGACGCTAAGCTTGGTGTGCATGGGGGCTTTTTGTGATGCAGGCTTCGGGAAGCGGTTGAAGCAGGTGGCAGGAAAAATAACAAGAATAGGGTTTTTTGGGTTCTGGGGTTATACAGAACCATGTTGCGGATAAGAAACCTTCAGGGATATATGTTGGTACATTTTTCGGCCCCTGTAGTATTCGGCTATGCGCAGTTTTGGGAACTCGAGCACCTCCGAAGTAAGTTCTCCAAGGCTGGTTGGTCAAACCGCGCTTGTACAGGGTTTAGGGTTTTAGGGTTTAGGGTTTAGGGTTCAGGGTACTTGGAGGATCATGGGACTTAGTAACTAGGATTATAACTACCTTAATTGGGGTCCTAATTACTTATAAGTCTGGTTACCTTATTTATAATCCTAGTTACTAAGTCCCATGGTCCGTTAAGTATCGGAAATAGCGGTAGTCTTGGTCGTGGTGTAGTGGTCGTCGTCGTGGCGGAGGAGGCTGAGGAGGGGCATGAGCACGAGCAGGAGTAGCAGTAGCGGTAGCAACATTGTAGCAGGAGGAGGAGTAGGTGCTAATGATGCAGCAATTAGAGGTACTTTCAGACCGTGGGCGTAAGTTTCATATATGGAGTGAAGATGCAATTCTCCCGGCAACCTAAGCCGCAGATACCATCCAAGGAGGCGTTAGCCGAGGACCGGACTGTAGCCGGATGTCTCTGCAAAACTCATCGGTTGCAGCATGCAGCCTCGTATTTGTAGCAGTTGAGGGAAGCCTAGGTGCATGTAGGGATGTTTAGGGCGCACATGCGCGAACGCTTGTGGTCAAGCAACGGCCTCTCGTTGAAAGTAGTAGGCTTTTGGCCCTGTTTGGGCCTGAAGGGATCCAGGCACGTTCTGGCATGGGTCAGTCTCTGCCAGAATTCTAACTTTAGGGTTTAGGGTTTAGGGTTGTAACAATATTTCAAACCTTCGTCTAAGACCGAAACCACCAAATCTTGTCTGAGCGTGGCACACTTCCTCCGGCTCCATCTGGCTGCTTTGAGGTACCTCGGTTTGCGGTGCAGGGTGAAAACTTCCCTGGGGACGAAAGGACGTATAAGAGGGGGCCCTACACCCGTATACTATGAATCGCTATGGAATCTGAACCTGAAGCCCTTTAAGGTTCATATCGTCCTTAAGGTTTAGGGCTGTCGTGACGGTTTACCGCTGGTAGGGTTTAGAGAATTCCGGAGGTGACAGAGAGGTTGGCCCTACTTTTGGCAACCGAAAACAGGAACCACAATGGAGACTACTGGAAGTTTAGGAATTGAAAAACGGATCTCTTGTCTCTTGGTTTCCGGAATTAACATATTATGCATTAACATATCATGCATGAGAGGGTCTCTATTCTGAATGAAGCACCGGCAGCTACTGCCTGGAGATGCGAGTACTCCTGCTCCTCCTGCTCCTCCGCCTCCTGCCTGCTCCTTTGACTTCTCCTTCTCTTCTCCTTTTGGCAAGGCTCCTGGACGATCGTTGCTACTACGAGATGCTGCGGCTACTGTTCGTACTCCCACCATGCCCCACCTGCTGCAGCGTTACCACCAGATAGCAAGAAACGCTAGGTGCGCACCCGCCGCACGAGTTGGTTGCAGGACCAAAGCTGCTCATGGGTGGTCGGGCGGCGGCATATTTCCGTCCTGGCCGAGATTGGAACATGCGTTTCAATCAAAATTGTTGATTAAACTAGATCTCGCTACTCTTGTAAAACTTGACGAACTCGAAATCATGTAGTACTCACTGGAGCTCTTTTTGCAGCGAGTACATGCTTGGATTCGACATGTCCTTCATTCAAAACTGATTGCCTAACTTTCCAACATGTCATCCAACAAGGTGGAGCGAGGTTAATTGTCGGTTAAAGTGCGAAGTCTGCTGCTGACATGGGTGGGCTGCATGGTACCGTCGATTCGACAGAAGGCGCAGAACAGAAATGCAGGACATTGTGCTTATGAGCCTCAATCATTCTAAGACAGGCAATAAGAAGAAGCAGAACAGAGTCTTGCCAAACCCACTTCTCAAGACGGAAACACACCCACTTGCGCTTGAATGAGGCAGACGGCGGTTCGGAGCTGTCTTGGCCGGTTTAGACTAGCCGGAAGTGCGTGCTGTCCTTTCCGAAAGGCTGAGACCTCAAACTTCAAACTGCCGACGCACAGTTGAATCTGAAACCTACACTTCAACTTAATCCGGCATAACAACTCTAAAGGGACCATGTAAATGGAATACCCATACTAGTTATCCAAGCCCCTATATTCAACAAGGTCCCTGGTTTCCAAATCTTCGACGACTGCGAAATTGATTCTCAACGTAGACACACGAATTCAGCAGTCCTTGGACGAGGGCTGCCGCTGTAGACCCTACCAAGATAAATGTTTCTGCTTGGAGTTCCAAGGCTTAGGGTTGAAGTTCTGGTTTTGAGGGTTCGGTTCTTGGGTTTAGGGGGTTGCTTCGCTAAGGGCTTCATATGCAAACAACAAAGATTTAAAGAATTGTTCCGGAAAACCAGATTGAGGATCTTTTGGACTTTGGGCTTGCTTCTGGAGTTTGCGATGGAGTAGCCCATATGGTACGCGCGCGTATGACGGTTGTTGCACAAGTTATTCAAACATCCTACGAAAAGGAGTGTTGTGACCAAAACATCTTCAAACAAATGTCATTGCAGGGTCACTCTGATCAGTAAGAACCCACCTCACCGCTATCTTCGAGACAAGTTTTTTGAACAACTAACAGGCGCAACCCATCTTGTCGATCACTATCTTGGGCACTTGGGTACACCACTGGAAGGTGTCGTCGTTGCTTAGGGGTGTCTTTTTCGCACAACTCATAGCTCCAAACGAGCTCAATCCAGCAGCCGTGCCCCAAAGTGACATGCCAACTAGCTCACGGTGGGCCCCAATCCTGAACCTTGAAGTCCTCCTTGCCGCTGAGGATTCAAACGTGGCAGGATGTTATAGTTGTGGGATTTATGGGACACCCGGTGTAATGAATGCAATCACGCACGATGCCCTAATCACGATGTGATTCTGGCAGACGTGATTTCCTCGTATCAAGGCCAATACTCCAATGGGGACGGGTCCTAATTCATTGCATGAGCATTTAAGCCCAAAAATTGCTACCTGGGTATGGGCTGTCAATGAAGGCCGACACTGACACAAGAGTGGAAAATTCGCAACCATCAGAATCGAAACCTACGACCTGCAGGTTTTGAGGGCGAAAAACGGCTTGAGTTGCATGGGTGGGCATGAGCGGTCTGAGATCACCAAACCCCAAAAGCCTAAAGCCTCTCTATGTATGCTTTGAACGGCTGCTGAAAGAAATGCCTGCTGTGAAGCCTACGTGCCGGCAAAAGTTCAGGTCCGAGCAGCACCACATCCAAAATCGAAAACACAAAGACATGGAGCAAAAGTCGTTCGTCCGGATTGAACGCAATCACCTAACCAGCCAGCACAGGGAGTGTGCCTCGTTTTGCCCAGAGAGCATGCACTGCCTCGGCAAGCAGCGAGCAAATCTGAATCTACCTGTCGAATGCTCAATGAGCAAGCACTGCCACCGAAATTCAATGTCGTATAAGCCTGTTTGGGCGGTTGTCCGAATTTGGCTCTCTATTGGGTTCCCGACCTGTTGGGCGCCGTGTTAAATTTTACCCGAAAGGACCATACAACTCGATCGTGGTTTTTCCTGATAGTTCCTGCTGCAATGGACGGCACTTTAGTCAATAGCTGGCACAAATCAGAATTCTAGTTGCCAATGCTTGTGATGGAGGTGGGGATCGAACAACTGAGGGGTGAATTGGGACACTCTATCAGACCTAAAACTACACATGCCGCATCGTTACCTCAGACTGGGCACCCCGCCACAATGAGGACCATTGGGGTTCAGGCCTGAGATCGATGCGTTGCTGCAGCGAAAGGTTCAACATCCTTATTTGAGCAAAGTTAGTCTCGAAGAACCGCCAGAAGCGGTAAGCATAATCATCATCTCACATGGACAAAGAAATTCAGTTATGAGGTTGGTGAGCGCCAGGACAAGTTTCCTGCACTGTACCCTTGCAAAAAAGATGATCAACACACTGGACCAACACCAACATCGAACAGCAACCATAGCTCCATGATAAGCTTGTTCAGAAATAGCCATCAAATAATAATGTCTGGAAGTAATGTCAGCGAGAAAAACTCGAAACGACGGTGAAAAATCTCAAGACAACATTCGCAACACCATCGAAGGATCGGATGATTTGGGATGCACAAACTTGTCGAGAACAGCAGAGAACACACAACGTGTACGGCCAGCGCAATTGCACTGACCTCAGGAACAAATCATGATGACAAATGCATGCAACTACTCTATCACGCCACTGCTTTCTTCAGCTGTATTGGTGCTGTAGAATAAACCAGCAAATAGAGCACACGTCTTCGCGAGGCAGGTCCGCAGAAATTAAGCTTTCAATGGTTAAACAAATCAAGACTGCCCCACGACACTCATTGCACTCAGGCTCTTCAGCGGCCATTGCAATGTATAGCGATACTTGCCCCGCCTTGAATACTCAATTTTGTGAGCGTCTCAGGATGCCAATAATAGTGTTCGCAAGCTGCACTAGTCACGGCACATACCTCGGTATCAAGTGCATCATGAACAGCCCGTCTCCGAATCCTGCACACGGTTTTGAACAGAAGGTCATCAATCTCGAAGCAACCATCCTTGCTAGTCATCGCCCTCCATGTACCTGTGTAAACTTCGTCAAAAGGACACCTAAGGTTACAAGACTGATTCCCTTGTATCCATCATGGGTACCGGGTGTGAAAAGCTTACTCAGTTCACAACCGGAGCTGCCACGGAACCGAGCTGCTGAACTGCTAGACTACACTGCCTGAATTCCAAGAGGGATTGATTTTCCTTCTCAGACATTGCATCATAGAACCATGAGTGTCAATGTCATCGACGGAAACGAATTCTGACAGAAACCCGACGAACTTAATAGAACTGAAACCGTGATGATGACCTTGACACAAAGGGATGTCTCCAGTTGGTGGTGGCGAAGGTAATAGAAGATGCTTAAGATCAGCACCCAAAGTAGTTCAGACACGTGCATGCGTCCGCAACAGCTGTAATTGGGTAGAACATTGCGGCTTCAGCTTTTGCGAACTATGGTGTAGTGGGGGGTGAGGCTTCAAGGTGTTTCACCTTTGAGGTCGTCCTTGCGGTCGCCACACTGGTTAACTGCGCCTCTCTTTCAACCAAATACCCCCAGACGCTTTGGCCGAAGTAGGTGGTAAAGCTTTGAGTTCAGTCTGGGGTTCGTCGCCAGAAACTGTGGGATCTTCAGAATTTCCGGGCTTGAGGGTTTCAGGCTTACCTATAGTCTACATGGTAGTTCCTTTTTTCCTTAACCAGTTTTATATTCAGGGTGTTATAAAAGGTAACACCATAAAGGAACTACAGTGGAGACTATAGGTAGGATGAGGATTCTCTTTGCATCATCATAGGCGGTACAGTTTACATGAAGGCACGGTGCGATGAGTTTTGGCGTTACATCCAAGGATCTTAACTTAAAATTGGATACACCAGAAATAGGAACCACAATGAAGACTATAGGTAGGATCCCCCCTAAGCCCTAAACCCTAAAACCCTGAACCACTATAGGTAGACTCATAACACTGGTCGAGCTTTAGGATGAGCGACTTCGCCGGGAGCGACACAGACTTCTTCTGGGTTGCTCAAGGAACCTAAATTAAGTTACTAGGAAACCGTGTTATTTACTGTATATCCCTGTTATGGTAACTTGTATTAATTAAGTTCCTGAACTGCAACCCACTATTGGTACAATCTTGCGCGGCCGACCAGTGAACTTGCAGGGATTGGGACCGCGAGCTTCCGGCAGACTAGCCCCAAGCAAATCAACCCGTAAAATAAAAACACAGGAGACCCTGACCTCTAAGATCTGAGCCCCAGCCGGGCCCTGGGACCAAGCCTCAAAGAGGCAATCCACCCTGAAGGCCTCCCACGATCCGAGTTCCCCCAACCCAAAGCCCCTCAACTGCCCTCAAGCGGCCTGCCGCGCTTCCAGCAGATCCTGGGCGACACTCTCTACAGCTCTGCCCTCTTCTTCGATGTCAGCGTTTAGGGCTTAGGGTTAGGCAGATCTTGTAGCAGCCAACCATACAAATGCAGTATACAAGACTAATGTCCTTCCACTGACTCATGCATTGGGGGCTTGCGCAGATCCAACGCAGTATTGTAGAAGGAGAGACGAGCTCTTTCTTGCAAGTGCTATGCTGTGTTGTGTTTGTGGCTGGTTCTAGGGTGCTTTTGCGACGCCGCAGAAGAATTCTTCCACCAGGTCCTTTACCGTGAGACCTTCCTATGTTCTCCTTTGTAAGTATTTTTTTCTGGTTTAACCAGCTTTAAACTAGGGATCCTAAAAGGGAACGCCAAACAGGAACTACAGTCTAAATGTCGCAGGTGCGCAAACTCCAACAAGTACGTGTTGCAAGTTTGTGACAACCTTCTGGCATGAATCCAACAATCGCCACAAGACAAATCCTACCAATCCCCCCCATATAGTACCCCTGTATAGTAACCTTTAAAGGAACCCTTATAAACAAATTCTACCAATCCCCCTCGGAATTCCAGACTTCTTCAGCATCTCGGTGTGTTGAATGGAACTTTCTTGGGGCAGAATCCCAGGTCCCGAGCCAACAAACCGAAATTTGAACCCCCAAACCCTAAACCGTAAAACCCTGAACCTTAAGCCCTAAACCCTAAACCCTAAACCCTAAACCCTAACCTTAAACCCTACACCTTAAGAGTCCCCCTCCGTTCCTGCACTTTATGACGGCTTCATCCTTCAACACAGGATCTTGAACCCCTCAACCCATCTCAACCCTACTCCCTAAGTCTATAGTTGAAGCCATGGGCCCCTGGTATGGGCCTTAACTGTGGGAACCTTATACACCTACTGTATACCCTGTATGTACCCTTAGGGGTCCGTAGAAAGGCCTAAGGGTCCATATTAGGGGCCCATACTTCTAACCTTAAACAAAGCACTAAACTCTAAAGCCCTAAGCTCGTCACTAGCCGTTGCTGGTCGGGCCTTCCAAAGGCTCTGCAACACCGTAGCATTGGCATTCCTTCCTTCGTCGTGGAGTTTACAGTCGGGATTAGGGTATAGGCTTTATACTGTTTGGAGCTTAGGCACTAAACCCTCAACTCCTAAACCCTAGAGGCGTTCAGCGTTCAGGGTCCGGTTCAGATCGAGGACTCCCCTCCAGCGTTTGGCAGTTGGTTTGGGGTCTCGGGTTGAGTTTTCGGATATTTTTTCCGGCTTAGGGTCATTGGACGACTGCTTGAGGGCTGTTACAAACGAATGCACGAGCCTGGTAACAGTATCAGGGCATGGGGACTGTCTGCAAAATCCACTTTGGGTGGACTGCCCTTCAGTGCTGGTAATCATCCCGGCGGCGCAGGAATTTGTATTGTTAAGCCGTGCTACTCCTTACCGCCTCCTTCATAGCCGGAGGGCCGGAAACGTCCAATCTTCAAGTACAACTAACCTACGAACCCCACAGCTCAAGGGCGGTCCCGAAGAAGAAACATACAAAACGAACATGGGTAGTTCTCTAAATTAGGGTCCCTTTTTGAGGTCCTTTTTATAAGGGTGCCGTACTATCTTATGGGGACCTAAACCCTAAACCCTAAACAATAAACCCTAAACCCTAATTTAGGAAACTACCCACATGTACCAAAAAAGCGTGCAGAGGGAACTAAAGAGGCCGTTGCCGCGCTCATGAAGACGAGGGTTTAGGGTTTAGGGTTTATAGGGTTTAGGGTCTATAGGGTTTATAGGGTTTATTTAGGGTTTAGGGTTTATAGGGTTTAGGATTTAGGGTTTAGGGTTTATAGGGTTTAGGGTTTATAGGGTTTAGGGTTTAGGGTACTGCTAATGCTGCTCCTGTAGCTGCTACCGTGCCAGCACCAGGTGCTTAGCTTAGCGCTCAATTGTTGGTTATTCTTACTACTACTACTACTACTACTACTACTACTACTACTGCTACTACTGCTGCTACTACTACTACTACTACTTCTTCTTACATTCTTTAAAGTGTAGACTGTTTAGGGCTTAGGGTTTAGAGGCTAAGGGCTTATGTTCTCACATATGGTACATTTACGACTGTTATTGGAACTATCATGTCGAACTCGGGCACGGTCCAGGGATGTCGATTGTGCTGGTGATCTCCTGGTACAACAATACGGAAAATGTTTGTGGTGCCAAACCCGTTATAAGAGAAGTAAATCACCCCACACCCCACCCGTCCCTGTCTCATAGAAACCATAATGAACCCTTTGCAATACCTCCAAGGAAAACCTTATTAAGTACCAGACCCTGATGAAGCCCCATACAGCCCTAAACTCAACACAAAAACAAGCTCTCCCAAACCTTAAATACACACAAACTCTGAAACCTTATGTCCAAGCCCATCGTACAAAACCCATGACACCCCATATAGAAAGAACAACCCCCAACCCTAAACCCAAACCTAAACCATTCTGAAACCAAAGCCCTTCTTAAGTCATCATGCAAGCCCGAGAAGTCCAAGCGTCGGCTGCATCTCAGCTGGATCCTGTCCGCCAAAGTTTGGTATGTCCTGGTCTGGGATGTGGGGTAGTATAGGGGCCTACATAATTGCCAATATTGTTTTAGGGGGTCCTTATTGGAATTATAGTATTATCGGCCCCAAAACCTTATGCTAATTATTAAGGCGCTTGATTAGTTGAAGAGGTTTATATCGCTCCAAGAGGCTTCCAGAAGGTTCTTTAATTCTATGAAAGTCCAACTGAAGCTATAAGATTTGCGGGCTTTGCGGGGTTTGGGAGATTTGGGCTGTTTGGGCTAAGGGATTGGGGGCTTTCGGGTCAAAGGTTGAGAGTAGAGCTTATGGGGTTTAGGATTTTGTGCGGTGTGGGCGTTAACAAAGCGGTGCTGCACTCTAGGCCTTCCCCTGGCGCAAAGAAACAGGGTCAGTAACACAGCTTTGATTGCTTTGATGCCTGCAGCGCTGTGAGCCCAAAATCCCAGAAATCTGATACGTATAACGTATACCCAGACCGTCCTAAACCCCCTCCATTGTATTATATTATATATATATACACACCTACCTACCTACATATATATATATATATATATTTATTTATTTATTTATTCATTTATTTATATTTATACACACCCACTACCTTCAACCCTAAACCCCAAACCCCATATTCGCCCAAACCTTGCATGCTACATGCTCAGAAGACTCCTGAAGCCCTGAAGCCCAAAACCTGTGCACCGTGCTCTTGGGTCATGACGCACCGGATGGAGAAGTGCGTCTGCGTCGCCGGATATGCATCTGAGGACGGAAGGACTTCGTGTTCATGTTTACGGAGATCTTGGCGCTCTTTAGAATGGACTTTTGGTACGGCGAGGAAGCCGGGAAGATAAGGTTTAGTGGTTCAAGATGGCAGGATCAAATTACTTGGGAATTGGGCCTTAGAGGGCCTGGGATTGGGATTTACATGAAGGCGTTGGTGGAGTCTTCCGTCGGAACTTTCTTGCTGCCCTCGGTCCAATCGAAAGCAAACTTTCAGCCAGTAGAGAGGCTCTCCAACAGTCAGGGCCCCATGATAAAAGTGCATAGGAGAAGACTCGCCACATCTCGTGATTACGATTACTGTAGGGGCCTCAATAATTAGGATAGGGTTTTGGGGAATATTATATTTTTTCATAATAAGGAGCCACCCAAAATAGTACGGGTCACTATTTAGGTCCCTACATTATGGATAGCGCACGGTCCCAGCACTGGCACACATGCTGCGGATCGAAGATAACAGAGCCCTAGCCATCTTGCCTGAATACTGCCCCCATACAGTAGCAGTCGATAATATGGTTATCACTAAGGGCCTTATATGGCTTTATTATAAGTATTTTGCAGCTGTTACTCAGTGGCGGTAGTATCCAACATCTTGCCTTCTTCAAGAACTTTGGTTTTATCACGGATGGAACAGTACTACAGATGAGTAATTGTCTAAATTAGGGTTTCGTTGAGGGTCCTTTTTATAAGGGTGCCGTACTGTTTAGGGGACCCAAGAAGGGACCCTAATCTAGAGAACTACCCAGATATTCAATTCACCTAAACCCTAAACCGTTCAACCTGTCGTCGTAAACCCTAAACCCAAAACCCCGAAAGCTTTAACCCTGAAGCCCTAAACCCCCGCAAGCCACGCACGCGAATCATGCAAACACTACGCTGCTAAATGACTGTGGCCTTATAGGAATCCCTGAACCTCCAGACTAAACCCTGAAACCAACTCTGACCCTCCCCCTCCCTACACCTCGAGGCAAAAAAACACACGGCCGGTCCCAACCCAAGACACCCAAAAATCCTCCCCGCCTCCCTTCCCGTTCCAGAAAAGAGACCTAAACCCAAAACTCACAACCCTAATATAGGGCCTTAATGATTAGAATAGGGCTTTGGTGCCCATTCTACCGAATTTTTGCACGGAACCCCCCATATAATATAGGTAAGTATTTAGGCCCCCTGCAGTATAAACCCCCAAAACGAAAGCCGGCGGTTCTGCGCCTGGTCGCTGCCAGGTGATCCACCGGGAACCCTGTCAAAGGAGTATAGGGTAATGCAGGGGCCTTAATAATTATAATAGGGTTTCTGGGGTTCCTTTAAAGGGGTCCTTTAAAGGTCCACTGCAAGGGTTTAGGGTTCAGGGGCCTTAATGATTTCCAATAGGGTTTTGGGGCCCATTATA